ACAAAGGCCTAGGGCATATTTGGCAACTAATTATTTTGTGCATATCAATAGTTGCAAAAACTCCTGTATTAGTTGCTAAAAGTTGATGAATTTTTTTTTGCTACACTTTCATAGTAAAATGAATAAATCTATTTTATTGTGACTAAAATTACTATTGTGTAACTAATTAATTAATTACAAATTATCTTCTTTTGGCAACTAAGATTTTAGTTGCCAAATGTATGGTAATTCTGCAAATCAATTTGGGCACCTCATGTTCCCTCTTGAAATAAATTGAAATTTTGGGTATGTTTTTAGTCTGAAGTTATAGTGTGTAATATGATTTTTTCGCAACCAAAATGTTGGCCACTAATATTGTTTATAAGATGAATATATTACTAGTAATCAAAATCAATTAGTTACAAGGTTTGGATATCATAAATTTGACAGTGCCAACTACAATATTAGTTGCAATTTTTTTTTTTTGACAACTACTTAAATATTAGTTGCTATTGATGGTTTACAAAACATGAAAGTTACAAATGGTGAGTAAAACTGGTTGTTACAAATACTATAAATAAATAAAGGCCACCGTTTTTGGAAACAATTACTAAAAACCCATCCTATATAAACCCAAACTCAAACCAATCCCTAATACCACAATTTCCCTATTCTACCCGAGTCTCTCTTCTCCAGCACTCCTCTGTATCCATTCCTTTTCACTTTTATCTTCTTGATTCTACTTTTCCGCCTATATCACCCCTTGAAGGTAACTTCTTTTTATTTTTATGTCAAAACTCATCTTTTTATAAATGGTATTTTGGTTTTATTTGTTTGATTCAATATGTTTCTTCCAATATTTTACTAATTTGTTTAAGCATATGTTGTTTGTGATGTTCCTAAATGGATGGCATAAATACCCTGCAGAAAGAAAACGTTTAAAGAAGAAATCAATGTAATTCTATTAACAGGCAAGAATCCAAATTTCATAAGCCTTCAATGAAACACAGTATAGAAGCATCCACTGATATTGCACAGAACTCCATTGGAAGTAAACTACTAAATAACTTTGATTTAATAAGTAAACAATAACTTTTTTTTTTTAAACATTAATTACTTAAACTCATACCTCAACAATACTAGTTCTGAAAAAAAAAATATTATGAATTTTCTTAATGTCACCACTACTGATTGAAGGAAAAGAAAAAATTAAAATAAAAAGGAAAAATTTGCACAGTTCCACCATTAGCATTTGGCATACAAATCCATTAAGATTCACTACTAGAAAACTCCATTCCTTGATATAATGAGTTAACATATTTCTTGATCATTCTAAAAAACTGTCAAAGATTGTAATTCTTGACAAATTATTGACAGTTTATGAACGTCAAGATTTTGAAATAATCATAATCCTTGACCATTTTGGATGATTCTTGACGTTAATAATTGTCAAGTAATTAGTTAAAATAAATTTATGAATCTTGTTCTTGACTGTTGTAGTCTCAATCATTGACAGTTTTACTATCAAAGATTAATATATATATTAAAAAAAAAAAAATTGCCTAAAACTTTCTCACCCATTTTTTGCTGCCCATTTTCATTAACTTTCCCACAATTTTTTTTTCCTAAAACTTTGCTTACCCCTATTTCACTAATTTGTGTAAACCCTCAAGTCAATCTATCTGACACTAAAAAAAGTTCTCGTTTCTACCACTTTCGTTTAATAGACGATGACTTCTTATTGACTCTGGCCTTACTCTGTGCCTATTCTGACGGAGTTGTTACACCCAAAGTAGGGATGTTCAGAAAAATGTAGAAACCGAACTGAATCGAGAATCGAATTAGATTTTCGGTTATCCAGAAACCGGTTTAATTTTGGTCCATCGAAATACAAAATTACCGAATTTCGGATTTATAAAAAAAATTGAAAAGTAACACAGTTTTCCTTCAATTTTAAAAGTAACAATATAATTAAAGTCCATAAAATCTAAAATTAAAGAAACACAAAACCCCAAACCCGTTTTTATTTAAAAAGAAAAATAACAATATAATTGGCCCAAAATTCAAATTGTTTGAACCCTTAAAATAAATAAATAAATAAAAACTCTAATTAACTTCCCACTCCGTCGTCACTATCTAACAAAATCCCCAAACTACTAAACCCCACCGCCGACGATGGCAATTCTCTCCCACTTCTCCACTCCGTCCGCCTCTTCTTCTCCAATTTTTGTCTGAAATCCTTGACACTCTCTATCAAAATAAATCCGTGTTGTGTGCCCGAGTTCGAATCTCGCCAGATTAGACGGTGAAATGGCGTCCGACGCTGCTATGGAGAAGATGCAGCTCCGTCAAAGCTACCAAACATGTGGCACACAGACCTCTGGGCTCATTAAAAAAGACACTCCTTTTATGTGTTTATCGAACTGCAGGGCTCCAGTAGACAAGACGCTGAAGGAAAAGCAAAATATGTCATACGGCCGTAAGTCCTTCAGTTCTAATCTTTGTTTGTTCGAACTTGCATTTCCTGTTGTTGTAGCTTGGTTACTGATTTTGAGGTTTGCCTTGTATCCAGTGTCCTTTTCATGTGAGGATGGTTTTCTGGTCAAGACTCAAAACCACAATATATATAATTTTCACAGAGACTGTTCAGCTTATTGATTCAAGTGCTGTCTCACTCTCTCCCATCTCCTGCGAAATGCTGGTGGGGAGAAACTAACTTGTTGCTGAACACCAATGTCATGACTACCTAGGAAATATTTTGTGTGGATTGTGCACTTACAATTTGATGTTCTTGTTTGAAATGACTGGATGATGTTCCTGGCTATGTTCCTAGATGTTCTTAATATTTTTCATAGCAGGTTATTCTGTTTATCTATTTTCTCGATAAGTACTTGTGCTATTACTGTCTTTTATGTTCAGTTAGTATACTCCTATATCATATAGATTCCAAGGGATACTTTGAAATCTCATTTCTTTTCAATTTCCACTTTTGAAGATATCCTTGCACATTATGTATGCCTTAAAATTGCATTTGTCCACTCCTTATAATTTTTCAGGTGTACCCTGAGGGAAAATGAGTCAGTATTTTGCAAGCTTGAAACCAGGGGATGTAGTCGAAATGAAAGGTACTTATTTTGCATTTTAGAAGTTTTTAGGAATACTTCTGTAACCCGGCCCTGACTCTTGCTCCTAAAAGAATTGTTTCAAAAAACATCTACTATGTATTTGTTGTTGGAAGTGGTATCTTGAATCTCCTCATATGCTCTAGAAAGACTAGGAGCAGCTCATCCTATTTGACCAACAAAAAGAGAAATAAAATGCTTGAAGAACAACATATTCAAAGTTGGAGATGCTGAAGCAGATCACTTAGCAGCTGCCACACCCACCCTGCTGAGCTCCAACTCGACTGCCCTCCCTCCATCTCCAGCTGGTGAAGAGTCTTCCTCATCTGCTACAGCTACTTTTAAAATCTCACTGATGACACTTGAGATGCTAACATTGATGGTCAGTTTTTTGTTGTATGGGCAGTAGATATTTTGACAGGGGGTAGGACCATATTTTTGGACTTTTTAAGATTGCTTGCATATATCCTTAGATGTGTGTACATGGTGGCCATTTTTTGTATTGTTAATGATCTCAGTAGATAGGTACTAAGAAAATGTGGGGTGCATGTTTTCTTTTTTGGTTATGCATGCATGATAGTGCATTTTGGATTTTTATGCTCATCATGCATAAAATCCATATATATATATATATATATATAATATATGAAATTTGATGTTAGTTATCAGATTTTTATTTTATGTCATAATTATTTTGTTGATGTTGAATGTATAAACTAGGTCATTTACGAAGAGCAAAAATAATGCTTTTAAATGTTAACCAATTAACTACTAAAGTATTAGTTGCAAAAATAATACAGCATCTAAGACTAATCAATAATACTTGACTAAAATAATTAGTTTTCAAAACTCATATACAATCGATTATTATATTATTTTGATGCAAAAAATTAATTTTAATGACTAAATCAATAGTTACAAAATGTAAGAAACTAAATTGGGCATGTACATTTCCCAACTAAAAATGAAATGCTTTTGCCACTAATTATTTTCTTATTAAAAAACACATTTTGCAACTAGTTTCATAATAGCGAAAAGTAATTTATCGTATTTGGATTCCACATTCAACGTCTAAAATTATTAGAATTAACCACTAATTTTTTTTTCACTAAAAGATACATTCGTCCACTAATAGAATAATCGAGAAACATTTTTACGAAATTACCCTTATATCTTTAGTGTCTAATTTTTGTGACATTCACGACTAATTATTAGTCATTAGAAGGTACGTTCTTCAACTAATTGATTAGTTACAATACAATTTTATCAAACTACCCTTACACATTTAGCACTAAGTCATATGACTATTTCAATTAGCAATTAGTAACTAATTTGCTAATCGTTAAAAAAAAAAAATTTCCATGTCTAACCTATTATTTAGACGCCCATAATTTCTGCGACAACGGTTCTGTAACTATATGACGACTGCAAAATTTAGACGCACAAGACATTTAGTGTCTAAATTTTACTATCGTTGTCTAATTTTGCTAGACGTTGAAAGCCATTTTTCTTATATGCATATGTAAGCTGCATTCAACTGACCTGGTGCTCTAACAATTTTCCTACATTATAGGTAATTGTATATCATAAAAGGTTCTTTGAGGTAGATTATTGTAAGTTGTGAAAATTGTTTCGGGCTAGTTTGATTAAATTAATGACAAAATAAAATGGATGATAATTATTATGAGTACTAACTAATTTAGCAAGTTGGTCTCTTGAAATTGTACAAAAGGACCTGAAATTGAAATCTGAATATGACTTTATTCAACCGTATGTACACAATAAAATGTTGATGAACAACATTCTTACAAAATATACACACAATAGATGTTGGTGTACAACAATCATTATTAAATACACACCTTATATACATAATAGAAGTGGATGTACAACACTCTCTTAAGCATCATATTGCCTCGGAAGAGATTGAAAATTGGCTTCATCTTTCTCATGCTCAAGCAAAAGCCAAACATGAGTGAGCAATTCTCCACCTCGCCTAAGTTGCTCTGCATGGAGAGTCCAAGGACAATTAGTAGCCCCATAACACAACATTTCCACCCAAACACTGCTTATTATTCTCCATCTGTCCTCTCTTCCTCGCAATATTCCAACCAATTTTTGCACCTGAAGAACCACATTCCATTTTGATGTGAGCACATTTTTCTTTGGATTTCCTTGTCGATAATTTTCGTCCACAAACTCATCTAGTAACATCCTGCACAATGTGGCTTCATCCCTTGATTCTTTTGTCTTAAAAAACTCACCCACTTGAGCACAAACACCACGGAAGAGAATGTCACCAGTGACAATAGATAACATATCAGGATGCATGGCCAAAAGATACATCATATAATCTGATAAAAATTTGTTCAGTTCGCGTTCAGAAGGATTGATTATATCTTGTAAATGACCACCATCTAAATAGTAACAAACATTTGTGGCAATGTGCCATATAATAATGGCTTTGCCAAACTTCGTTTGCTTCTTGGCATGGGAACCAAAATCTTGTGGAATATTCAATTCCAAATCTTGGAGACAATAGCATTTTTCAAGTGGCCATTCACCACATTCGCTGAAAGGTTGCCCACCTCTTTGTGTTCTTACCTCTTCCACTTGTTGTAGTATCAATTTTTTCAACTCCTCAGGAACTTGAATGTCTTTCTTAACACAACGCTTCTTGTACTCCCTGTGGAAGCTCTTGACCATGAGAATTCTGCTAATCAACCCACAAAGCTTTTTACGCTCTTCATAGAGACAATAGCTTAGTAAATTGAATTGTTCCATGTGATGTGACCACCTATGCTTCTTACTTAGAATCTTTTGAGCAACAATCCTCAACAATCTTCTCATACATGCACTCCACTTTTGATTCATCATATGGAGTACTACCCAATCCGAGCACAAAAGTTCCTTCATCTCATAGAATTCAAGTAGAATTGCTCCAATGAGCAACACAAAGGTGATTATGAGATCCATATGGTAATCTATGACACACCCCGAAAACACACACAAAACAAATAGAATAAGAATGCAAATGATGCGACCCAAAATATTTCTCTTAGAATAGTTAATGGACGCATTGGTATAGAGCACATCATACATAAAGCTAAGCTCGAATTCTGTGACTCTGAAAACATCCTTAGGATGACCGTATTCTACACTCACTGAATTAGGAATATACCTAGATGAATGGTGGCCTAGCCAGTTCTCAAGATAAGGCTTTAACCGATCAAAGCGTTTATAAGCCTTCACAAGCAAATCAAGATCATCAGAAGTCGTTCCGGAATTAGAGCTAAGCTCGACTGGGATTTCTACTTTTCGAGAATCATTATGTACAAAAGTAGTTATCACAACTTTTTCTCTATTCCTTAATGACATGAAAGCTCGGAGTCTTTCTAAGACTTTGATTAATCCAGATAAATAACAAGGTAACGTGAAAATGAAGAAGGGATATTCAGGTTCTTGAAACAATGCTTGATAAAGGATCGAAACTGCCAAGGCTACTTGGGTGCTTAGTCCAATAACTTGCCTAAATGTTAGCTTATTATCTTCAACTGAGTATGAGATCATATTTGGGCTACAAATTTGTACCAAAAGTATTGGTGCCCACCAGCTCTTGAGGAACACATTAATTATATATACATGGTCATAGTTTAGTTGATTATCTACTAAGATAGCGTAAGCCGTGACACTCATTATAGAAAGCTTGCCAAGGACGAAAGTTACCATAGGACTTGCCATTAAGTAGGATAACCAAACACAAAACCGGCTCAAAGAGCTTAACTGGTACTTTCTACGATTGCCAAAGAAAGTAAGAATGGCTTGTGCTCCAAGACTCAATAACATTAGAGTTCTGATCTCATTTAACTCCCATTCTACGTCTGACCTTTTTTCACTGATAGGATGATCTCTTGCTCGAAAATAAATCGTCGGGAATAGATTCATAATCGCCATCTTTAATTTCTTAAAGCTGATGAAGATGAATATATAACTAGCATAAGTTTTTTTAAGATAAAGAAATGTATATATAAATTAATCCAGTCCAGACATGTATATGTAACACAAAATGTAAACTTTGATTTGCATAATTAAATCAAGAATATTAATTTCATTAGAACTTCGAAGCCTTATATTGTAGTTTATATATATTTGTTTTCTAAAATAGATTTGTATTAATATTTGATTTATATTTAATTAACAGTAGGGTTACTAGTTTAATTACTAGAAGTCTTATATTGCATTTTTTTAATATTTGTTTTCTAAAATAAATAAGTATTAGTATTTGATTTATTTAATTAACAATAGGTTACTCGTTTAAGTAATGGAAATTATGATTTAAGTATCTTATATGATAGGGTGTCTTTGTCAGTTTATTTTTAAAAACTAATCATCTTTGTGGGTGTGTTTTTTTTACTTTTAGTTGCTTATGTTCTGGATATTTTATTTATAGGTATTTCTCAATAACATCCCACGTCAATACGATTGGCTGAATCTTGTGTAACCATTTCATAGAAATTCATTTTATATCTTCTTTTTATAAAGCAAATCAACTTCAATTTTTGAATAATCCATATAGTTTCCACTTTTATTGTAACAAAATATTACTTTTTATGTAGAAAAGACTCATGTCAATAATTATGATTTTACCAAATATTTTATTTTAGAGCCAATTAGACATGAGTAGTTCAGATCATAACCTAACAATGTATAGGCAAATAGGCAGAAACATGTAATTTGTGACACCACGGGTAAGAGCAGAAGGAGAGTTTAATAAACGCTAAAAGGAAATATCAATCACTTCGTAGACTTGTCTATTTTGAGAAGGTCACCAACACAACACAAACATCTAAAAAGGGAATTGGACTAGGAATGTAAAAACCTCGGGCTTGGCTTGCCTGGGCCTGGGAAAAAGCCTAGGTTTTACAAACTCAGGCCAGACCAAGGCTGAGCTTACTCTGGCCCAAGCTGGGCCTTCCGGGGCTTTAGGCCCGTGTTTGGTTATATAATGAGGTTTTTTATTTTATATTTTAATTAATCAGTGGGGCTGCAAAATTTTTATTAAACATTCTAAATCCTAGAAATTGTAGGGGATCAAACTTTTGTTGAGATCCAAGAAAGGAAGAAATAAAGATGTCATGTGGATTTTCTACAGATGATGGAGCTCGGGCAGACCTTAAACATTCTAAATTGGACGAGTAACATTCAGTTGAGAACTAAAGATTATAGAAAAAAAATAATCATGAATTTTAGAATGGAGGTCCACTCAATATAGTTGAGATATTTTTTGGTAAGGCTGAAGTAGAATAAGAATGTGATAAAAGTTATACATGATTGCAAGAGTAGAGCATGCAACATGGTTCCGAGGAAAAGGCCATGGAATTGACTCCAAGAATTAATTTCGGCAGTCTAGCTACAAGAGGGACATTGGTGGGCAAGGAAATCATACATGGACAACGCTTTCGTTTTTCTAGAGCTTGGGTCAAGGAAAGGAAATGTTGGAAATTAATTTAATCATGGGATATTGTCATAAAGTACCCCTAGGGTTTGAGTTTTTATCACTTAGATAGTAATTTTTCAGATTTTTATCACATTGTACCCTGGAACTTTTAATATTGTATTATTTGCATCATAGACACCCCTCGATGCTAACTCCATTATTTGGGAGTTAGCATCAAAGGGTAATCTGGTAAATATTCTTTTAGTCATAATACTTTAAGTTCTAACTGCTCACTAACGGTTTATATAAATGGCAGAGGATTTTTATTATTTCACAAACCTCAAGGGTCAATGAATTTAACTCAAATTGTAATGGACTAACCTGGAGCTGAAGAATTCTTGCAGTGCTTCACGATTCTCAGAGCACAATCTGAAGAGAGAAATTAATGGAAGTTGTGCGGCGCCTATCCGAGCCGAACCTTGGTTTAATTCGCCGGCTCCCATAGCCATACAATTAATACCGGACCATTTTACTGATTTTATTAAAAAAACTGAAAGTAAACCTATACCCGGCTTTGCCTTCAAATTTTACAACGCTAAACCCTCCCAATCTAATTAACATTTAACAAGTACACCACAGACACATCTATTATTTAATCTAAAGAAAACACCCCCCCCATTTCCACCCCCCACAACGGTTTTTTCTTTAAAACAGACAAACAGACTAACAATATAATTTTGCCCAAATTCTCAAATGTTTGAACCCTAAAATAAATAAAAGAAATAAAACTCTACATGTAACTTACCCACTCCGGTCACTCATCATATACAACATATCCTATAAAATACTAAACCCCACCACACACGCCGCACGATGCCAAGTTCTACTCCCAAACTCTTCATCACTCCGTCGCATTTCTTCTCCAATTTTTGTTCTGAAACTCTTGACAACTCCTAATCAAAATAAATCCTGTGTTAGTGTGCCCCGAGTTTCGAATCTGCCAGATTAGACGGTGAAGATGGCGTCCGACGCTGTATGGAGAAGATGCAGCTCCGTCAAAGCTACCAACACATGTGGCACACAGACCCTCTTGTGGCTCATTAAAAAGACACCTCCTTTTATGGTATTATCGTTTTAACTGCAGGGCCCAGTAGGACAAGACTCTGAAGGAAAAGCAAAATATGTCATACGGCCGTAAGTCCTTCAGTTCTAATCTTTGTTTGTTCGACTTGCATTCCTGTGTTTGTAGCTTGGTACTGATTTGAGTGTGCCTTGTACCAGTGTCCTTTTTCATGGTGAGGATGGTTTTCCTGGTTCAAAAGACTCAAAACCCACATATTAAAATTTCTACTCAAGAGACTGTACGCTTATTGATTCGTAGTGCTGTTCACTCTCTCCCATCTCCTGTGAAATGCTGGTGGGGAGGAACTAACTTGTTGCTGAACACCAAAGCATGAGATACTAGGAAAATATTTTGTTGTTGGATTGTGCACTTACAATTAGATGTTCTTGTTTTGAAATGCTGGATGACTGGTCCTGGCTATGTTCATAGTGTTTCTTCAATATTTTTCATAGCAGGTTATTCTGTTTACTATTTTATCGATACACGTACTCTGTGCTCTTATGTCTCTTTAGTAGTTCATACTCATATATCATATTCTAGATTCCCAGGGATACTTTGAAATTCTCATTATCTTCTCAATTTCCACTTTGAAGATACTTGAAAATTAATGTAGCTCTTAAATTGCTATTGTCATCCTTATATCTTTCAGTGTTATTAGCTCGAGGGTTTAAAATGAGTCCAGTCCATTTCTGCAGCTTGACCAACAAGGGATATGCTAGTCGAAATGAAAGGGTACTTATTTGCATTTTAGAAGTTTTTAGGAATACTTTCTGTAACCCGGCCCTGACTCTGCTCCTAAAGAATTGTTTCAAAAAAACTATCTACTTATGTATTTGTTGTTGGAAGTGGTATCTTGAATCTCTCATAATGCTCTAGAAACGACTAGGAGCAGCTCATCCTTTTGACCAACACAAAAGAGAAATCAAAAAATGCTTGAAGAAAAACATATCACATGTGGAGATGCTGAAGCAGATTCACTACAGTAAAGCCAACCTGCACCCCCACATCACCAGCTCCAACGCTGACCTGCATCTCATCCATGGCTGTTAGAGTCTTCTCATTGCTACAGCTACTTTAAATCTCACTGATGCACTTTGAGATGCTAACATGATGGTCAGTTTTTTGTTGCATGGGCAGTAGATATTTGACAGGGGGTAGGACCAATTTTGGACTTTTTAAGTTGCTTGCATATATCTTAGATGGTGTACATGGGTGGCCATTTTGTTTGTTAGACGTTATGCCTCAGATAGAGAAGCTACTTAATGAAAATTGTGGGTGCATGTTTGACTTTTTTCTGTAACTGATTGCAGCTTTTGGATTTTATTGCTCATATGCATAAAAATCCCATATATATATAGACTATATATCTATACTGAAATTTGATGTTAGTGATAGTTGTATTTTATGTCATAATTATTTTGTTGATGTTGAAGTATAACTATGCATTTACGAAGAGCACAAAATAATGCTTTTAAATGTTAACCAATTAACTACTAAAGTATTGTTGCAAAAATAACTAAAGCATCTAGACTAATCAATTACTTGACTAAAATAATTAGTTTTTCAAAACTCATATACAATCGATTATATATTTTGATGAAAAAAATTAATTTTAATGACTAAATCAATAGGACAAAATGTAAGAAACTAAATTGGGCATGTACATTCCAACTAAAAACGAAATGCTTTGCCACTGATTATTTCTTATAAAAAAACACATTTTGCAACTAGTTTCATAATAGCGAAAAGTAATTTATCGTATTTGGATTCCACATTCAACGTCTAAAATTATTAGAATTAACCACTAATTTTTTTTTCACTAAAAGATACCATTCGTCCACAATAGAATAAACGAGAAACACTTTTACGAAATAAACCTTATATCTTAGTGTCTAATTTTTGTGACATTCACGACTAATTATTAGTATTAGAAGGTACGTTCTTCACATATGATTAGTTACAATACAATTTTATCAACTACCGTTACACATTTAGCACTAAGTCAGAGGATCTATTTTCAATTAGCAATTAGTAACTAATTTCTAATGTTTAAAAAAAATATTCCATGTCTAACCTATTATTAGACGCCCTAATTTCTCGCGACAACGGTTCTGTAACTATATGACGACTGCAAAATTTAGACGCACAAGACATAGTGTCTAAATTTTTTACTCGGCGCTCTAATTTTGCTAGAGTTGAAAGCCATTTTTTATATGATATGTAGTGCATTCAACACGCGGTTGCTCTAACAATTTTCTACATTATAGGTAATTGATATCATAAAAGGTTCTTTGAGGTAGTTATTGTAAGTGTGAAAATTGTTTCGGGCTAGTTTGATTAAATAATGACAAAATAAAATGGATGATAATTATATGAGTACTAACTAATTTAGCA